ATAATTTTGAAATTTTTCTGTGATTATAAATGTGCCGATTTTGTAAGTACGGATGTCGATACACATTATCAGAAATATGAGTGCTAACTATAGTAAATTTAAATCTAAAGTACCTAAAATTTAAGAAAACATTAAATTATGGAGAATATTTTCCTAAATTTTTAAAAAGGCGCTCACGTTATATTCTTCAAGTAAATTTTACGATATGTCCACCGTAAAAAAATAAAAAACATTAGATAAACTTTCGTCTGATATTCAACTACACATGGGCACACGAAAAACCTATATTTAAAAATTAAAATTCCTAGCGTCTCTCGTTCGTGCACTTCTGTAGTCGCATTAACATGAACAAATGTAGTCCGCTAAATTTCTATAGGCCGAAATGCGGCACACGAAATCTTTTGCCTCTTTGTGATACATTTTTCCTTCAATAAATATATATATATATATATATATATATATATATATTAAAAAGAAGAGAGAGACCGCAAACCGTTTTGGTTGTAATGTGTTTTTTTTTTAAATATTATGCTTTATTTTCCATAATTTTGCTACACGGGTTTCCGGTCTGGCGACCATCATCAGGCAAAGGGTGGAGATTTCCACATATTATTAAAAATTTTTTTTTTCTTTCCTTTATGTATTTCGATGTTAAATATTCTCGATATGAGACATTCTCTTTTTGTCTTAGTGACCCAAATGTTTTTCTTGAACTGGTCAGTTCAAGAAAAACATTATAAAAACATTATATATATATATATATATATATATATATATATATATATATATATATATATATATATATATAAATTAATTGATTTAAAATATGTTTTTTTCCGCTACACAACACTATTTTGTAAAAATAAAAATACCTATAAGAACACCGGATTATATATCTTACTGTTCTTTTCTTTTTATTCATATATATATATATATATATATATATATATATATATAATTTTATTACACCATCTCTCCCTTTTCTTTCTGTCTCTTTCTGACTGCCTTTCTGTCAGTATCTTTGTCTCTCACACAAACACTAAACTGCATCACCACATCACACAGTCGTAATTGATTCGTCTAAATGTGTAAATTGTCTCATAACTGTCTAGATTTAAAAAAAAAACCTAATCAAAAGCTTTCATACACACGCCGATAAACATAGAGGCTCAGAAACCATGCAGTTATCGAGTCACAGTATGTGAACTCGTTGCAGTAGGTGAATTTCTGGTAAGCAATGCCTCCAAGCATTTCTAATAGAATCTTTTGTAATAACTATCTAGGTTTAGCATGCATAAAGCCACCGGAATGCACATTCATATATGTTAAATATATTCTAGATGGAGATCGGGTGAATAGATATCACTTTGAAACTGCAGCCATTTTGTCTCTTCCGTTTGGACAGTCTATGTTTATGAAATCCAGATCCAGTCTTGGATTCACAAACAGGTATAAATACGAGGATATTTTGAAATGTAAAACTTTCGATGAATGATTGATTTTTCTAAAATCCTAGAAAATACAATGATTAAAAATTTCTACGCCGCTTAAAAAATTGATGCATGAAATTTGGCTATCGTTCAGTTCATACTCCTTCCCGGTATTTTGAACAGCAGTAAAGGTTTGTTTCCCCTTTAGGATTAGGTTTCCGGTTATTTCTAAAGTCTTTTCCTTCTCTCTCACTTCCGGTGGCTCCTTGTGTCTTCGTGGCGGTATTTCCACCACGCCTAGCGTGATGCCTCTTACTCTATAACCTTCTACCTCGAGTGGCAACTGGGCCTTTTACAGAGTGAAGATCGTAGCCAAAAATAAACTATTTATGTATATACACATTCATATAAGCAAACATAAACTTGATCCTTCCCAAATATATATATATATATATATATATATATATATATATATATATATATATATATATATATAGCCTTGATTACTACGACACAAATCTTTGGCATTCATAGCAAAAGTTTCTCAAAGTATAAGTTTGATAATTTTCATTCCATTCTTTTTTCAATGATTCTATGAGCTTTTTTTTCATGTTTTTTTTTTCACTCTTCTGTCAAGTTCACCCTGTGCTGATTTTTTTGGGTAGCAGAATATATATATATATATATTTAAGTAATTCATCGAGTCAGAAAGTGTTATACCTGACGTACCTATTCAATTATTAATAGACTCTCCCACACATAATAAGTAGTAGTAGTAGTAGTAGCGGTCGCCAGTTGGGCTCAGTAGAGTTGAGTGAGTCAGTCGATGTCGGACCTTTAAGTATCAACCATCACAACTAGATTGCTGCGTCAATTAACTCCTATTGCAAGTTCCTAACGTTTTGTACGTCGGACTCTTTTAGGACAGACTTAGTGAAATACAAGCCTCCACTGTGAAAACTACTCTACAACAGAAAGAAGCCTCAACAGAATGCAGAAAGCACTGGACGACCGTTCCGTCTTATATTGTCTATGATTTTGAGCACTTTATCCCATAAATATAGCACACCTTAAAACTATATTTCTTCACATATATATATATATATATATATATATATATATATATATATATATATATATAATATAAAAAAAAGAACAGTAAGATATATAATCCGGTGTTTTTATATAGATATTTTATTTTTACAAAATAGTGCTCAATGTAAATTTACAGAGCATTAATATTATAAAGTAATTGATTTAAAATATGTTTTTTTTCGCTACACAGTTCTAACCATGTTTCAAAAATGGAAGCTAAAAGCCCCGAATTTAATTTTGTAATTAAATTAAAGACATTAGTTCCATTTCAATGGTGTGTGGGGGTAGTGGGGTGGATATAAAGATAAACGTTTATTTATGAAGCTTCTAAAAGTTTACTCTATGATACTGACAACAATATGTCCATTATAATGACCGAGGCGTTCGTAAATATTCGGACAAAAATAGGAACTTTGGATTGGAGTATTGAAAAATTTAATGCGGATACGCCAGAACCTATTCGTGAATTGAAATTACATAAATATCAAATTGAACTGACAGATCTTGCTGTCCGACTTTATAAAATTTATTTGGGCGAGTTAATTCTGCACACACATACACATACACACACACACACACATACATACATACATACATACATATATATATATATATATAGTGCGATTGATAAATTATCGTTTAAATTACGTAAAAAGGAAAATAACACTAACATCTCATTTTAAAAAATATATTTACCAAAATTACTAAAAAGATATCTTGAAATACTGATGAGTAAATTTATTCAGTGAAATTGCCATTGTCTTCAACAACAGCATCCAAACGTCTTTGGTATCTCCTGCAACTCTTCTGGGCAGTCTCTTTGTTTAAATTAGTCAATGCTTGCATTTAGTTCATCTTTGGTGTTACAAGGAGTTATGTTAGTCTCTCAATGAACTAGGCCCCACATATAATAATTAGGTGGCCAGATGTAAGAAGTGATGTGGTCGTAGAAATTGTCTGACAGCCATGGCTGTGTTCTCCTGCTTGTGTGACATGGTGCAGAATCCTGTTGACAGGCATATGGTCTTCCAGCAGCCACCCTCTTGACCCAGGGCAGCACTACCTTCCCAAGACACTTGATGTTACTCTCAGTGTGGAGCCTGAGACCCTGTGGGAAAATGTCACCTTTATTAGTGATCACTTCAAACACCTTTGTAATCACCATTAGACTCATCCAACTCTTTCCGAATCCTTTTTATTGTCCTCAGTCTGACATTCAAACACTCTAAAATTTTCGCATTGGAGCTTCCGGCGTGAATGCCAAGCAGTACAGCATGCCGTTTCCAAATTAATGTCACGGTGGTCTTTTTCTCACAGACGGTGCCCAACTGGCCTTACTATACTGCGCAGTCGACTGCGCAGTCGATAAAATCAAAAACAAATAATGCGCATGCGCGAAATTAGAAAATATAAAATTGTGACAATTTACCCATCGTACTCTGTGCATACCATTAAAGATGGCTGACAAGGTGCTCCGATTAATATTTTTCTTTATTTTTTCTTGCATTTAAACATGTTTTTTTTTGTTTTTTTTGTTTTTTTGGACATAATTTCCTTGTCATATAATTTAATAATTGTCTATTTCGGCAGCAATCCCTTTTGTCAGTCATCTTTAACGATACTTTTATAAAAGTGACATGGTTTCTGTCCCTATGAAATGTATTTTGACACCTTCGGGAATGTTCGCCGGTGAAGTAGTATAAACACTATCGGTTCGGTAGTTGTTCACATCCTCCACGGTGAAAAACTTCTCATTCGACCATACGAAGACTTTTCCTGCATCTCCTCCAACATCTTCTCCCTTCTGCCAAGGGTTTTTTGTCTGGAGACACTTAAGAGCATCTGTCGTCATTGAGTCTTATATAGTTTTTAGCGCCAAATCCTATTTCACAATCCTCCTTAGCGACCGCTGCAAAATATTCAGATATTTTGCCATTTTATTCTTCAGGCTCTTCTTGATGGCTTCAATGACTCTCCTGGTACGAATTGAATTGTTTCGTCCTGAAAGTGGATTTAGTGAGATTGTTTGCTCCTCTTGAAATGTTTTCTACGCATTAAAAACAGTTCAGCAAATATTCAACTGTTTTATTACCTCAAAATTCTTTATACCAACTATTGTCAATGCAACAATTTGATCACGTTTTGTTTGAGCCGCCGTGTTTAATTGAACTGTAAACAATAAAACAAAGAAGGTTACGAAGCCTTATTCAAAATTTGAAACTATTTTTGAGAATAAGCATGTTTCAAATTATGCTGAAATAAACGATAAATATTTCGAACTAGCCCCACCCCACCCCATATTGAGTGTGAATAAAATTCTGAAATTTTGTTAACGTAATAAAACAATCATTAAAAAGCAGTTTTGGAATCACTGAATAATATTCAAGTTCAAAATTTTCAAATGCTCCTCGTAGATAATATATAGCGTTGGTGGGGGTTTGTGAATTCCTTTTTACCCACATTTTCGCGGCTTCAATGACTACCAGTAAGTTTACAGTGTCCTGATTTACGGTAAGTAAACTGTAAACAATAAAACAAGAATGTTAGGAAGCCTTGTGAAAATTTGAATTTTTACTAATCGCATGTTTAAATTTATGTTGAAATAATGGGTAAATATTTCTTTCCTTGTATAGTGTAATGTGAGAAATAGAATAAATATGAATGAAGTATTTCCTGAAATGCCTGTATAAATATTTTTCTTATTCTATAGGGTGTTTCATTAAGACGGACCAAAGTCAGCAGTAAATAAATCAGTGTTATTGGGGAAATTTTATTTATTTCTCTATTGAATCATGTTATTTAAGTCATGGCGATTATGTTTGAAAAATGATATCGCCCAAATGTTTCGGCAGAACACCTCCACACGATGGTTAAAATTTTTGATAACGTCTCTGCATAGTCTCACCAATATGCCTTATTATCTCATCCTTCAGCTATTGAATTGTTGTTGGCTTGTTGGCATAGATCTTACTTTTGAGATAACCCCAAAGGAAGAAATCTATAGGCGCCAAGTTGCACCATTTGGTGGCCAATTGACTTTGCTGTTTCGAGAGATGATGCAACCTTGGAACTTCTCATTCAAATCCTGTTTGAACGTCCAGTTTCAATAACTTTAACACATTGTTTGATTTTTAATATTTCCATGGTTGAAATTGCAAAAGATTTAAGTTGTTAAATCTGAAAGAAAAAGAAAAAATCATTGGATGCTTAAACTTAATTCACATTTAAAGTCGGTTCAAATTATTGGAGCACCCTTTATTAATGTTTTGTTGTCAGGCTATGAGTATTTTGGATTCCAGTTTTATATCCCTACTTTAATCCCCCAAACAAGATTACGATAAGAGAAATCCGTCTCTCCTTCGCCATTTTGTTCATTTCTTTCTTATTTCCGTGTATTTGCAGGTGAGGTCAATGGTAATGCCATGTTCTTTTTTAACCTGTCGGCAGTGAAATCGAGTGAAAAAGTTCTTCGCGCCGAGGTCCATCTTTACAAGAGAAAGCAATCTTGGATGCCGTCCGGTTCGAAATTAGAAATCCTGCTTCATGAGATCGGCCCCAACTACATTAGTGAGACAGGACGGGTAACTCTGCACCGGGCGAGCCGAGGCTGGCAGTGGCGTGACGTCACTGAAGCCGTTCTTAGCTGCCTGGCCACGTCGCGGAAGCCCCCGCACCTGTTCGCCATCAACTTCAAGAGCCAGAGGGCCAAGAATGGTAAAACGCGCCCAGTGGCTCTAAAAAAATTCGCTACCCACCACTCACGCCCTTTCCTTATTATTTATTCAAATGAGACGGAGACGGTCAAGCTTGACCAGCTGGATAAACTGGCCGAACGTCTGAAACTATTTTTGCCCGGACGTCGACCCGGGCAGGGCCCAGTCGATCCGCTGGGGACGAACCTGACTGCTATCTCCGCCTCAGGATCAGAAACGGTATCCGGGGGCACGCGAACATGGCCACATGTTGACAGGCTCATGGAAACCTTTCTAGAAGATGGAAAGAACGGCAGCAAGAAAGAAATCCATATGCAGAGCCGATCTGATCATTCGTTGACTGACGTCACAGACGGTCAGCGTTTCAAAATTAATATCGAAGACGCTGTCAGTATGGAAGAAAGCAAACCAGATGAAGAAGATGTTACGTTAATGTCGGTAAATGAAAATCTCGGAAAAGATCAGAAATTTGATCCTGAGGACAGGGATTCTGGTGTGACATCATCATGGACAGATTCAATTTCGGATTCAATTTCCAATCGCGAATTACCGATTAACAAAAGTCATGTTATTTCGCAAGCACATTCTCGGTTTCATTCCAGCCGGCATCATTCCTCTGGGAAGGAACGCAAAACAGCAGCCAAAGTAATCCTGGTTGGAACTTCATCAGCGCTGTCAGACGAGACGCATGCCATTTCCACAAATTCTACCATCTTCGACCGAGTCAAGCGGTCGATCCTGACTAACGAAATACCACAGGATCCCGTCGACTATAAGACGGTGACGAAATACAACGTACTGCATACAAATCCTGGTGTACTTCAGACCCGGCAGCAACGGACCAAAATCAAAAAGGATTCACGATTGATTCCTTATCCAAAAGATTCCCAGCACAAGAAGAAGCGACGTAAACGCAAGCGGCCCCGACGGAAGAATTTGCGACGACGTCGATTGCGATTTCCCAAAGATTGGGAGACTGAAAGCGAAAGTTCTTCCAATCAGGACGCTGATGATCACTTGTGCAAGAGACGGAAGTTACACGTAAACTTCGATGATATTGGCTGGGGTGAATGGATAATCAGTCCACGTTGGTTTAACGCGCATTACTGTTCCGGAAGTTGCCCTTTTCCATTAACTAAGGTAAGTTCTGGCCTCATTAAGACTTAATTTTTAAAGTTTCATTTCTTGTTGTTTGATTTGATATTGTTCATTATTGTACTGAATTTCATCTGCTATTGTATTTTTTTAATCTAAAACAAGGAATTTTTATTTTCGAATTACTATTATCGGCATTCAAAGAATTCTTTGGTTGAATGGCAGCAAGAAAGAAATCCATAATCAAAGCCGATCTGATCATTCGTTGACTGACGTCACAGACTGTCAGCGTTTCAAAATTAATATCGAAGAAGCTGTCAGTATGGAAGAAGGCAAACTAGATTCTTTGCTTTAATCGTTATGTTTCAATTTTCTTTAGAATATTACCCCAAAAGAACTTGTGGATTAAGGTAATGATGCACCACAGAATTTCAAACAGTATTTAATATCCTCACTTTTGCCGTTTCACTTACAACATTTCGATCGGTCTGCTCTCTGGCTTTCCCCAGGTTTATATTACAAAAGAAACCTCTGCCAAATGCATGACGTCGATGAATAATTTTTGTTTATACTTCTAAACACAGAGACACGAGAATTAACAGTGTGCATCTTATTTTTAAACAATCTGTGGGTGCCAAATTTTATTAAAGCTTCAAAAACGGACATTTTGAAAAAATATGTATTCACATAATATACCCGAATATATTAAAACAGAATTTACAATAAGAGAGAGGATGAGAAAAATATTCTTTTTTTCTTTTTATGTGTCGTGTCACTTCAGAACTTTGGCGATCATGGCTCTCCACTTCACCCTATCCCTTGTAGCTCTCAATAAGTTTTATCCCTTTGCTACTTCCCCCAGGCCATGTTCTGTCATCCACTTGCTTAAGCCCGCTAGGTATGTCATACGTTGCTTTCCCTTGTCTCTCTTTCTCTCTATTCGACCCGTGAGTATCAGATTCTCCAAACCCTCCTTTCTCATTACGTGTTCCAGAAATTTCAGCTGCCTCTTCCTGATGTTAAATATAAGCTTCCTCCTTGTTTGCATCCTCACTAAGACCTCATCGTTGCTCACACGCTTAGTCCATGATATCCTTAGCATCCTTCTGTAGAACCATACCTCCGTTGCCTCGAGTCTCTTCTTCATCTTTGAGGAGACCCTCCAACATTCGCTGCCGTAAAGAAGGACATATATCACGTCGCAGCTCAGCACTCCTTTCTTTGCTACCAAAGAAATCCTCCTGTCTCGTAATACTCTAGCTTTTGGAATGCGTCTTTGGCCATCGGATATCAGCGTCGCACTTACCGTCCTCTGTCAAAGCATTTTACTGCTTGATTTTAGTGTCCCCGATCAGTAAATCGCAATTCGGGCTCATCCATTTACTGATGACCATTTATTCTGACTACTCAATGTAAAATGGTGAATCGAAAAATGTAACGGAAATGAAAAAAATGTTAACCGGTTATCCCTCGCGCCTCGGAGCACAATCGAGGGCAAAAAATATATGCATGACGACTAAAAAGAGACACAAAAAGAGCAAAAAAGTGTTTGAAAAAAATA